TAGGGATAAGGGTCTGAAAAATACCCTAACTTTGGTCGAATTTGTTGTTGTGGTACTAAACTTTCATGAGGACCTATTACCTCCCTAGACTATTTAATACCGTATTTTTTACCCCCTGAACTATTTAATAGTGTATTTTAAAGGTATATATGTGCCCACGTGGACACATTACTATTTATAATTTTGCATTATTTTTTATGTCCACGTGGGCAAATATATATGTTTAAAATACGATATTAAATAGTCTAGGAAGGTAATACGTCCTCATGAAAGTTTAGTATCACAACAGCAAATCCGACCAAAGTTGGGATATTTTTCAGACCCTTATCCCTTCTTTTTATTTATTTTTTTCACTCGGTGTTGATGTTCGTTTTTTTTCACCTCGACAAGTTCGACATTGAGGTAAAGCAGTCTCTAATAAAAGCAATTCCGTACTCAGGAAGATTTGAATCCAAAATTTCTGATTAAGAATAAATAAGTACTTACCACTTCACTATAACTTTTATTGGTGTTGATATTCACATTAAATTGTGACTAATTCAAAGTATTAAGTAAATTATTAGGATATGACATACCTTTTAAGATAAATATTTTAGGATATCAATAAAATATTACTTTTCACTATTATTTTTTTATTATTCTTCAAATTGTTCTTCTAAAAAATATAAAATAGTTAAGAATCTTATTAAATGAAGAGTAAATATAAATAAAAATCAATATTTTTTTTGGACTTTAAACAATTTATTTATTTTAAATTAAAATTGAGGACAATTTAGTCATTTCACGTATAAGCTAATTAATGAATAAGCTAAGCTACGTAGCTTATATTCCAAGAGCCAAGAATTATTAATTATATTCTTAGATGAACTTATTAATTCTATTCTTAGAGAAATTAAAAAGAAAAGTATGGGTCGAATAAAATAAAGCGTACATAGATCTTATTTATATCTTAAGAGGAAGAGATATTGTTTTCAATAGACCCTCGGCTCAAAAATAAAATAAAATCAAAGCAGGAGGAGAACAATTTTTGCAGTATACATAAGACGAAGTAATCTACTTTATTTACAAATAAAATATTATGCAGCCACCAAAAATCATTTGAAAGCATGCTATAACACATAAGTGTTGGGCCGTGCTTGCACGGGCGAATACGTGTAGTAACTAATAACACATGAATTAAAATATCATGACCAAATTGATCCACAAATTTGTAAATAAGTTTTTATTTTGTGTAAAATTAAAGTAATTTTTATAATTTTATTTATTCTTTAAATTGTTGGTATGTAAAATTATATGGATATCATCAATTCAAATATTATATTCATAGTAATACAATACAATATAATATATATCATGCATTATAAAACGATACGTTACAATCTTTCGGAAGTAATGTGCATTAATGATTTCATGCAAGTGGTACTCTACTGTTTAGGTCAACAATCAATGTTTAATGATTTCATGCAAGTGGTATTATTTTGTCATTGCCTAGCCCATGTTACATGGTCTATAAGGTTGTCTTTGTCAAAAAGAATGAAGGAAAAAATTACAAATTGTTTATTACTTCATTTTCACTCAAATAATTGGGAATTTTTTGAATTAAATCTTAGATTATTTTTTTTGACTGAAAATGAAAATTATTTTAGGGGTCTATAAGGTTGTCTTTTGTCAAAAAGAATGTAATTTTTTTTAAGAAAAAAAAATTACAAATTGATTATTATTTCATTTTCACAGAAATAATTGAGAACTTTTTAATTAAATCTTAGATATTTTCTTTGACTGAAAATTATTTTAGGGGTCTATAAGGTTGTCTAAAAAAAATTACAAATTGATTATTACTTCATTTTCACTCAAATAATTGGGAAAAAAACTTTTTAATTAAACCTTAGATATTTTCTTTGACTGAAAATTATTTTAGGGGTCTTTATATACGTCAAAGTAAGTTTTTGTTTTAGCCCCTATATATATGTCCTGAACATTAGAAACGGTTTTTATATTAAAATTCAAATATTTTAATCTTAGCTTACATCTTAAAATATAAATTTTCAATCAAATTTAAATACTATGGAATTTAAATAAAAGTTTTATTTAAAAACAACTTAACGACTATTCAAAATCAAAGGCTCATAGAAGTAAGTTTAAATTTCAAAAACAGAAAAAATGTTATAAAATAATATATTGTGGATGTCCACTACATCAAGAAGTTACTCCATTACTTTCCTCCATTATGAATATAACCATAACCTCCACCTTTATAACCAGTATTCTTGTAACATTTCACTTTCATAACCTCCCCCATTATATTCATGTTAATGTCATGTTTATGACTAATCTTTTGTATGCCTCTGTGTTACACTACAAATAGAGGCATAAGGATTCATATTGTATAGACTTGAAGATTTAGTGTACACTTGAAAGAAAGAAAGTTATCTCATATTGTTCCTCTTGTCTTATATTCTTCTTGTCTTCATCTTTATATTATTCTTTCGTTCTTAAGTTTACAAAAATACAATTATTTATAGAGTTACTTTCTCATGCAATTATTCAATTAACACTATTTTATTTTATAGATAAAACAATAGTAATTGAGTGTTCTTTATAGGGAAAATGGTATGAAATAGCAAACTATTAACTCAAAATAAATTTTGTAATCACAGTTTCATTTAATTCTAATTCGAGTAATTTCCCTGGACAGTCACCCATGTTTGGGAAATTACCTAGGAATATCACTTATGTTCATTGTGAGGGACTATTAAAATGTTTTAACTTATTTTACTTGAGATTTTTTATGGTTCCAACATGTTGTTCTAATTAATTAGTTTTGTTCATTTTTATTTAATTTTAAGTCAAATTCAGATTATGTTTATGGTATTCAATATTTATTTTTGGTAATACATTTGGTTTATTAAGACACTAGTTGAGGGTAAGACGGTGAATTCAGGTTTCACCGTACCAAGTTGGTAAGACATCGAGTTAAAGTCTCGATGCACCATGATAATAAGAAGTTGGGTTCAAGTCTCATTGATTCATGACCAAAGGCGTCTTTATATGGGTAAGACATTGGGTTTAAGTTCTAATGCACTATAGTGATGATATGATGATGACTAACACAAAGTTGTATACTTTTGACTGAAAGTCATGGAATTTGTCCAATTAATTTGCTCCATTCTTTTATGTGAATATGGTAGCAATGCATAATATGTCTGAAAAATGACAAGTGGTTGAATGTATGAATATGAGTATGGTAAAATGTTAATGGTCATCATTGTTGTAATTAAAAGGAAGAACATTATGGGCTCTTAAGATGGTCCTTCAATTGTGAAGGTAATTTTGTCCATCAAAGTGGTATGAAAGGTTATTGAGCACATTGTTTCTTAAGATGGTCCTTCTAATGTGAAGGTAATTTTTATCCATCAAAGTGGTATGAAAAGATATTGTCACATTGTTGTTGATGCAACCCAATTTGAAACGTTTTGTAAATCCTCCATCAAGGTAAAAGAATACAAAGTGGTAGTACATTTAGAACATTTGACCTCTTAAAGTGATGTTGAGGTGAGTCACATAAATTTGATAATGCCAAAGTATGACAATGAGTTTCTCATAAAAATTTATA